GTGGGGAGAGGCAATGTCGGTGCGAGGGAGACGGGGGCTGGCACGGGAAAGCCCGCGCACAAACTGCGCCAGGCGAGACAGGATCCTTCCTAGGCTCTGGACTTGAACTCCAGGGGTTAGGCCAAACAAGGCCCATAGGACAGATAAAAAGAAATTTCAATTCTCTTGATTTCTTCACACTGCTGCTGTATAGGGGAGGGAGAGACAGTGTTTAAGGTGTTCAGAATTGGGACATGAAAACGTACAGACCGAAGGCTGTCACTTTGCTTACTTATTCAGTCCACAGAGATTACCAGGGTGGGGCCCTGGATCCCAGCTGCCAGAGTTCGAATCCTGATTCAGCCACTTAAAATATGACCTCAGGCAACTTAAATCACTTTTCTTGCTTCAGTTTTCTCATTTGTAAGTAGGGCTATTAATAGTACCTACCCCATGGAGTTACTGTAAGAATTAAAGGAACATCAATGTGTGTCTTGCTGTAAAGTGGGCTACTTTATTTTTTCCGATGAGAAAGGCTGAGAGGTCCGAGCTGCTCCCTTTATCCTGGCAGTTTCCCCGCTCTCTGTCCTCTCTGTGGCATCTGCCACCAACACCTTGCTGACCCATCTTCACAGTGCCTCCGACAGCCACCTCCTTGGTCTGTGTAACGTCTCCTGTTTGGGGCCCTCGTTGCCGAGACTGTTACTATAGCCTCCTAATAGGTCCCTCGTCTCAGTCCTTCACGGAGTTGTCAGATCAATCTTCCTGGAACGCCATTCGCCTCACATCATTCGCCTGCTCAAAAACCTTCAGTGGCTTCTAGGGGAGCAAACCCGAAGCCTTCCATGCTTGTCCTCCGTTGAACATCCCAATTGGACCAGCTGGACGCTCTCCCCCCAAGCCCCTCCCACCTATGCACTTGGCTCCTCCCAACTCTGGACTGTTCCTCAAACCTTAGTGCTGTGCGTTTGTCTCTACTGCCTCCTTCCCACTCTGCCCTCCTCTGTGCTCGGCCACTTTCTACCACCCCCCTGGGTCCAGCTTGGATCCTGCCTCCCCCTGCAAGTCCTCCTGAGACCCCGTGGCGCTAACCCTCCCTTCCGCTCAGCTGCAGTGGGCCCTGGGGTGCTCACCCTCTCCATGGATGCCTGACCTGGTTCTATCTGTATGGGCTTCCAGGCAGGGACAGGCCTGCTGAGGGCAGAGAAGGGATCCAGTAAGTTTGTGCCAGTTGGCTGAGTGTAGGAGGCCCTGGGTCAGCTGCTGCCCGATGGCACCTCTGCTTGCCAAGTCCATGCTCCTGACATGCCTTAGTTGGTACCTTCTTTTTATTCCTGGGTATTTTGTGTGTGTGTGTGTGTGTGTGTGTGTGTGTGTGTGTGTTTGTCTTTTTCTTAATTTCTGGGGCAAGGGAACCCTCAGCCTTCCTCCCTCCACTGAAGGAAGGGAAGGGGTGAGATTTTGCTGGGAGCACACAAGTCTGTTCAGCGGCTGTGCAGCTAATGTGTGTATGCACGTGTGTGTGTCTGCTGGGGTAAGGCTGCACCCCTCTCTCCTTGGACTGGCCCTTCTTCCCCCTCTCTGTTCCTCTATTGCTCTTGCCCTCCAGAGAATCCACCCCACCGGGCAGGTAGGCACGCCTAGAGAGACGAGGGAAAAGAAAGAAACTGAAGGTCTAAGTGTCCTCTTTCCTGCTCCTGCACGTGACGACTCCTGGGTCTGTGGTGGGGAAGGGCCATCTTGGTGGCAGGAGGCTCGTCGGCTGCTGAGCCCAGGGGCAGCCAGGATGGGCCCGTGAAGGCGGTTGGAAGGCCACAGCACCCGAGGGCCTGGGAAGGCCGCAGCACCTGAGGGCCTGTGGAGGGCCTCAGCCATTCGCTTCCTGCTCTCAGGTTCTTTGGTTCACACCTGCCGGCCCTCCTTTCTCCAGCGACTCCCTCTTGCAAGGTCTCTTAGCCTTGGTCCTCTGCCATGTGGTCTCTGTTTCCCTTGAGCCCCCATAGCTTTTACTCTCTGCTTCCTGGTTGTCACTTAGATTTTATGCCTTGTCATGGGTTCCCAATTCTTCTGGATTCAGGAGAAAGAGGTGACACTTTTGAGCAACTGTCTATGAACCAGGTGTTTGACTTGCTGCTCTGTGTCCAGTATTTGTCATCTCTGCCAGGTTGGGTTTTTCTAAAATCCCCATTTTATAGATGAGACAACTGAAGTTCAGTGAAATTAAATCGCCTATGACTAGTAGTAGGTGCTCTGCGTTTCCTCTGCAGAGCCTGGCAACGGGCGGGGCGGGGGGGGGGGGCTTACCCAGAGCAGATGGATGTTCAGACGCTCCGTGTGACCCTTGGCCTCTGCCATATGTAAAGGCAGCTCAGGTTGAGGGGTGGGGTTGGTAGAGAACGGGGTACAGTAGGAAAGGTTTTCTATAAACAGGAGGAAAGGGAAGCCCAGAGCCAGAGTGCCCCAGGTCACAATGAGATGAATGTTGGTCTGGTTGGTGTTGCCCACTGTCCTAGTGAAGGCTGGGTGACCCCAAGTCCCTGAGGGGCCTCGGCCAGTCACTGCCTCCTACCAGATTCTCCCCCCACCCCCACCAGGAGAAATCAGCAGGTGCCGACCCTGGGTGTCCCTGGCTGCTTTCTCAGCCCCTTCACTGGAAAGGGGTGGGGACAGGGCAAAGCTCCCATAAGTTTCCTTCTTATGTCCTGCGAGGGTCAAGAGACATTTGAAGACATTTTTGGAGGAGGAAGAGGGATGTACTGAGCAGTAGTTTTGGACCCTGAAGTAGGGCCCTTGGAAGGGGGAAGAGGTGCCTGGGTACAGAATATGGAGGAGGTGGAGGACAGCTGGGCCATCCCTGGGGCCCCGGAAGTGGTAGGGGTGGGGGGAGTGTATACAGGACAGACTCCCAGACTCTGGTCCAACCCTACTCAGCAGTGTCATTTCTGTTGGGTTCTAATCCTTTAACCTATTCTGAATTTTCTTAGCCGTTTCCTTAAGTCAGCCAATGTCTGGAAAGAAGCCAGCAGACTTGTCAGGTGTGAACTCATTCCCTAGGTCCGGAGAGGAACCACAGAAGGGCAGCCCAAAGGGCGCTCTCCCCAGCTCCAGTCCCCATGCCCTCTTGGCCTAATTCCATCACTCGTGGGCCAGGGCCGCGTTTCCAGCCGGCACCATTCGGTGGCTTGGGACAGAGTAGAGCCACGCCCCAGAATGCGCCAAATGACAAGAGGCATTGGAAGGAAACCGGAGCTCTGCGCTTCCAAGCCTGGAGAAGCCGCGTTCCCGCCTAAATCCGCAAGATGGAAGTTGCTCCCTCTAGCTTTTCCACTAGCGAAGGCTGCTGGCTTCGTGAGTGACCCCTCCCTTCAAGCCCAGGTCGATTTCTAGCATTAACTGTTTGCCAGAGTCTTGTTCGTTTAAAAATGCATCTTAAAAGGCACCATCAGCCACACCTTAGATCGAGCTCTGATCCGTTTTGGGCAAGGCGGAAAGTTTAGGAGGCACCGCGCTTACCCCACCACAGCACTCGGGGTGAGCGCGGAGCTGTATGCGGGGAATGTGTGCGCCTGGGCCGAGGGATGCAGGCAGCCCTAACGTAGTGAGGACGTGTCAGGAGGGAGCGTGAAGCTCGGCCGCCCGGCGTGCGTGGGTGTGTGCACCCGTGTGTCCACAGCCCCACCGCCTCGCCCTTCTCGCCGCGAAGTGTCCAAAACCTCACCTCTCCTTCAGCCCTTTCCCAGCCAGACGCTTCCTTTTTGGTGTTTCTGCGCGTTTATTGTAAATTCCGTGACTAAAACACGCCGGTAAGCCCGGCCCACCGACAGATGGATCAATCGCCCCCTACTCGGCTGGGGGAAGGGGACCCCACCCGGATCCTCGGAAGCGGAGAGCCGCCGGCTGCCTCGGGGGAGCTACCCTAGGCGCCGAGTCCTGGCCCGGGCGGCCTCGGGCCGCTTCACCCCGGGGTGGGGTGCCAGTCCCCGCCTAACCTCTTCGGCGCAGTTCGGGCAGGTCTGCCGGCCGCGGCGGCAGCGGCGAGGGCGCTGGGGGCTTGGTAGCCTTCCGCCCGTGCCGGGGAAGAGAGACAGTGGGGAAGGGGTCTCAAAGGGCTGCAACGGTGGGTGTGCGAGAGGCGAGCGCGCCGCGGGCGTGCGGGGAAAGTTCTCGAGCTCCGTGTGGAGATCACACGTGTATGCGTGCGAGGGGCTAGACCCGAGCCGGCTGGCTGCGCGGGGACGCTGGCAGCCGGCGTTCGAGGAGGTCCTTCTTTTGCTCGGCGCCTTTGGGGAGACGCTCGGCTTCGATTCCCCGGCCAAGGACACCCGCGCCCGCGCAGAGTGCAGCCCTTTCCCCAGACTCGGACCACCAAGATGGGGTTTATTCTGGCGCCCCTCCCCCAGCCCCAGAGATGGCTCCGGTGCCGTAGACTCCACGCCCTCTGGCCTCTGCTGAGCCTCCCAGGGAGCCCGAGACCCGCTGGCCGAGGGGGCGGGGCAGGGGCAGTAGAGGTTGGAGGGCGCAGCCTGCCCGCGGCTGGTGTCGGTGGGGGGAGCGCCCCGGAGGGTGGAGGCGGGAGAGGAGGCTTCGTGGGATTTGCGCCACAGCCAGGGGAGCCGGTCCTTTTCCGGCCCAGGCAGCAGGTCAGTGTGAGGAAGGTCTGGCGGCCGAGCCCTCCTCTCGCCCAGCGTTCCCCGGCGCCACCACCGGCCACCGCCGCGCCGCCGCCGCTGCAGAGTGTCGCTGCTCCGCCGCGCGCCCGCGCCCCGCGCCGCCGGCCGCCTGGGAGCCCGAGCGCCGAGCCCGGGGCGGAGGAGAGGGGCGCGGGCGCGAGAGCCGCGGCGAGGGAGCCGCGAAGGGGGAAGGGGGCGGGCGGAGGGAGGAGCGGGAGAGAGGGAGAGGGAGGGAGAGAAGCGAGCGAGGGAGAGCTGGGGAGAGCGAGCGAGGAGCGAGAGCCGGGAGCGGAGCGAGAAGCGGGCGGAGGGAGACAGGCGCGCGCGAGACCGGGTACCGGAATTCCATTAGAAAAAAGTGAGCCGGCCAAGGGGTAGCGGGAGAAGGTTTTTTTGAATTTTTCCTTCGTCTTGGAGCGAAAGAAGCGACTCCGGTCTCTCGTCCTCCAAGCTCCCGCTGGATTGTTTCCTGGCGCTTCCCTCCGTCGGTGGATTGCTTTCCTATTTGCGTTTTTTTCTGACCCCGACCCTCGCTGCTTTCTTCCAACCCTCCACCCTCTCGTCGCCTCTCCCACCTCCCCAGGCCCCTCCGGAGGAGCGCAGGGGACCGGACCCGCGGGGACCCGCGCCTCCTGGACCGGCGGAGGGACGGCAGAGCGCAGGACCGCTGTCGGCTGGGAAGCAGATATCCACAGATACACCCGTGTGTTTGATTTTAGTGGGCAGGGGGGCGTCGAGAGGCGCCCACCGTCCTCCTTCCCACACCCCCCTCCAGCCAGAGGCGAGAATCGCAGGAGTCGGGATCTTCATCGGGTGGACTGGCTCGAATCTCCGCATTGGATTTAGGGTTGATTATCACTGTTTGGCTATTATTACTGTTATTTTTTACCGAAAGAAGAAAGAAAAAAACAAAACTGTGGGATTGATTTAACATGATCTTGGCAAACGCCTTCTGCTTCTTCTTCTTTCTAGGTGAGTACCTGCGGGCGGCGAGGGCAGCGCGTCCAGCGGAGCCAGGGGAGGGGGGCCGCGCGGGCGGCGCGTTCGGGTACCTGCGAGCAGCCGGGGACACTGGGGGCGAGCGGGGCGCCCGGGAGACCGACCGGGCAACCCGCGGAAGAGCGCGCCGCGGAGCGAGCCAGCCTGGGCGCTGCCAGTCGAGCGGGGCCGGGCGCGAGCCCCGGCTGTCTGGTTACCAGGGGGGTTGGGAAGGAGACTTATTAGAATACCCAAGCCATCCCCGCACGCACACACGCACACAAACACGTACACTCGTCACTAACACAATAATAATACTCACTTCCCTAAAAATAATGGGTTTAAACTGCGGTAACTTAAGGAAAAAAACAAAACACCCCAACTCTCGATTTGGAAGAGGGGAGGGCAGAGAGAGGCTCAGTGTTGGGAGAGAAGTACCCAGTCCCACCTTTTCGGGGGCTCCTGGAGGGAGTCAGCTGTGGTGGAGGGCATGGGTTTCTCCCGAAGCTCCGTGTTGGACATTTGTTGGGGGAGCACTGGCAGCCATCCCCCACCTGCCAATCAACCTCTGGAAAATGCACCCTATTTCCAACTCCCTGAACCCCTTCGCACAGCTCCACTACCCGGAATGCTTTTCAAGTTTCTCCGCACCCTTTGCTCTCCCTGCTGCCCAGGCCCAGCCAAGCGGGTGGTTGGGATTGAGCGGTGGTGAACAGTGTCCACTGCTTTTCCTTCCTCACGTCTGGGGGCTGGGACCATTGCTGGCTGGTGGGAAGAGAAGGGAAGGAGGCCAAAGTTTGCTTCCTCCGGTGAGGGAGGGGAGAGGGGTGATGAAAACACCGAATCTGAACAAAGACCGCCCCTCATTCTGCAAGCCCTCTCCCCCATGGGCAGGGAGGATGTGCTGCCTGGTGCCCCTGACCCTAGGCCGGCTCTTTCCCACCTAGGTTTCCCAAGCGTTGCCCTTTTTGATGCTCTGTGACATCTCAGCTGCTTGGGAGGTGGGTATAGAGAAAGCAGCCTGCTGGTGGAGGAGAGGAAATGAGAGTGTTTGTAGGATGGTGGCCGGCGGGGAGTTCCAGGCAGGGCTTGCTGTCCCGGAGCAGGTGCTCCAGAGAGGAAGCTGCTGACACGCATGCATGTGTGTGCGCGTGTGCAACACATCTGCTTTGGTGCGGGCGTTCTTCCTGCCACTCTGGCCTGGTGGCGAACCAGGCTGCCCAGCTGGGTGGTGAGTGCAGCCTGTGCTCCTGGGGGAGGGAAGGGGGAAGGCCTCGGAAGGTACCTGCTGGTCTCAGAAAGGTGTGGGTGGTCTAATAAGTGCCTCCTGACCAGGACAAGGGGTTTGGGTCAGTGCTGGCCTTGGCCTTTTGTCCACTTCCTCCTCTTCCCCCTCCCCCAGGGCTGAATTCCCCAGGGGACTTGACCCTTCTCTAGGGTGTGGCCTTCACTGTCCTGCTGCCCAAAGCCAGAGGTGGCTTCTCTCTAGGGCTCTGGAGAGGCCGAGGTGGGCGCTCTGGGCCTCCTGAGGTCCTGCAGCCCTTCCTGCAGCCATCTGCAAGGGGGCTCTCGTTCTGAAGGGGCTGTTACAAGCCTGACTCCCTCTCCACCCCTGGTTTGAAAACCCAGCTTTCTGGGGCCAAGAAGAAAAGAAAACTATTTTGTGGAAAAGCAGCCAGGTTGCGTGCCGCTGAGCTGCGCACACTCCAGGCCCGCAGGACTCCCAGGTGTGGGCACCTCTGAGCCCTGGAGCAGAGGAGAGTGACATGGGCCCTCGGTGTCCCCGCCTGGCCCAGGCCCCCTTGCTGCAGGCAGGCCTTTCCCAGATGGGTGGGTTGAGGCGTTGGCCCTGTTCTCCTGGTGCACGTGCAGGTGTGTGGGTACGAGAAGGTGTGCTGGTCAGAGACGCCCACCCCGGTGTCTGCAACCCCGGGGGCTGAGTGGTGAGAGGAGAGCATGGGAGCAGTCGGAGAGCAGGGTCAGCAGCCCCTTGGGTCAGAGCCCTTCAGTTCCCTTCGCGGGAGAAGCCCTTCTGGAAAGCTGGGTGACCACAGAATGGTGAAAAGCTCTGGGTTAGGCCAGCCAAGAAGGAAGGGGTGGGTTGGTGTTAAGGAAACTCCAGCTCCAGGGCCCCATTCCTGGCAAGGAGTCTGCAGTTGGGAGTTGGTTGGAAATTCCACTTGGGGGAGAGGTTTCCCTGGAGCTTTGGTTGGGCCCGCGGTGAAGCATGTTCCCAGGACAGGGCCTTCAGCACGCCTCCCCCAAGGTTCCGAGGGAGGCCTGGGGTGCGGAGGCCTTGCCGGCCCAGCCGTCCTGCCCTCCAGTGTGGACGTGCCCAGAGAGACTGTGATAGGGAAGGCCACTGCCGGGAGGCGAGGGGTGAGGTTCTGGTCATATGGCCAACTTTCATGGGCACCCCAGCTCTGGCGGGGACACTCCATGCCGGACAGTGGCTGTAGCTGTGTAGTCGCTCAGTCCCAGTGCCTCCAGAAGCTGTCCCGCCCGTCTCTCCTGGATGCATCTGAATTTCCTCCTGATCTAGAGCTTAGAAATGCCACCCGGATGCCTTCTGGCCTCTATTCTAGAATTCTTGGCTCTGAGTGGCCATGCTTCCTTTCTCTGGCTGGACTTGATTGCTTCTGGGGGTCCTGGCGTCAACTAGTAGAGTCAGGGACAGGTGGCAGGCGGGCATTGGGTGGGAGGACTCCCTGTCTTCTGCAGCGCATCTCCTGCGTGGTCACGTGCTGGCTGGCAGGATGGGGGACGCCCTTGCTTTTGGCGCAGGAGCCACAGTTCTGTGAGGATCGCCCTTGGTGCTCTAGACCCCACCTGTAGGGCAGGCAGGGTGAGTGTCCTCCTTGCCCCGGTCCTCTGGGCCAGTGTCCTGACCATCAAGCCTGCGGAGGGTGTCCCTTTCTCAGTCCACCTCGGGTAGGGTCAAGGTGGGAGGGAAGAAGCCTGCTGGGACTCTGGGGTGATCAGTCAGTGGAAGGCCAAGGGCTGGGTTGGTCTTAAGACACCAGCTGGCTGGCTGGCTGGCTGGCTGGCTGGGGGCAGCAGGTGCAAGTGAGGCCAGGTCAGCTCAGCTGCTCCTGGGTGGCCCAGATGCACTGTCCAGCTCAGGGACTTAGGAATTTGCTGAAGCAGGGAAATAAGCAGATGCCCCACTGCCCACGTCGACACTCCATGCTGGTTTCTTCTCTGGTCTGTCTCAGCCGGGCCACAGCCTTCAGATCTTCCTGTCCGGAGGCAGAAGTATGGTCAACGGGCAAAGGGAATGCCTGTCGCTCTTGCCCTGGAGGCCTTCTCCACTCCAGGCCCACCCCCCTGCACCTCCTCTTACGTGGTGTGTGGGTAGGCCTGGTCCCTCGAGGAGCTATTCCTTTCCCCTCCGCGGCTCTGTCGGGAGGGACCGGCTCTCTGTGCAGAGCTCTTCCTCTAGGTGTCGCTGTCTCCCTGCGGTAGCTGCCCCCTGTGCAGGGCCTCCTGGGGGGAGGGAGGGGAGACCTGGCGTGCTGGGTAGAGATGGGAGGATGCTTCGGGTTATGAGAAGGGGACTTCTGGCCTAGGATCATGTTATGTTTGGGGGCAGGACGGAGTGGAGAAAGCGTCTCAGATCACTCCCTGGGGCTTGGAACAGGCAGCCTTGGCTCTGGGCCATGATACAGGCTTTTTCTGGGGCATGGTCTGGAGTGAGGGGCTTGGAGAGGACAGGGAGGCGGAGAAGATGTCCTATGGATGTAACCGTTTTGGGAACTTTATTCTGAAAGGATCACGTGGGCCTCTCCTTGCCCTTCGCCCTGGATCTTCTTCCCTGACGCCCTCCCACCTGAAGGCTGGGGGCTTGGGCCTCTGGGGCGAGGGACAGAAGCGGGGTGTCGGACTCCTGCCTGTTGACTTTTGGAGGAGCTGGGTCCCTGTGTGAGACGAGGGCCCGGGGGGAATGCGCTTTCCCTTCTGCAGTTGCGTTATTATTCGGCTTCTGGGAAGAAGAAAAGAGACGGGGAGAGAATTTCAGAGGAGAGCAGAAGGAGAAGAAAGAGAAAAAGAAATAGGAGGAGAGAGACAGACAAAGAGAAAGAAAGAGGGGAACTGGCTTGCTTAGAGCGTTCCCCTTGGTGGTCTGGGGGCAGGTCGTCCCTGGGAGGCACTGCCACGGGTCCTGGCTGCTGTGAGGTTGGACTCGGCTCTGAGTGGGCTGGGGCTGGGCACACCGCGGACACAGGGTCCGGCTTGTCTCCTAGTCTCCTCCCTCTCCTTTTAAAAAATGTTTTGTTTTTTTTTTTTAAATTTTTTACTTATGGAACTCAGAATGAATAGGCTAGCGGCTCGAGGATCCTTTTCAGCCTGCGTGTGACCTTGAGTTGTCATCTCCCTTCTTTGGGTCTCAGTTTCCCCAGGGCAAAGTCTCGGGGGGGGGGGGGCTGGACTCTGAGGTTTCTCAGGTCCTAAGAGGCTGTGAGAGTTAAACGACTTCGTGCTGCTTTCAGGGCTTAACTGGTGCTTGGGTGGGCCTCCGGCTGGAACTGAAGCAGACGGGAGGCCTGGGGGGTACGAATGTGATCCCCCGCCCCGCACACCCCAGCAGCCCCCGCGGCCCCCAGCTCTCTGCTGAGGCTGTCACGTTCTGTGGCCTCCTGGCATCTTCGACAGTCTGTGGTCTTGCTTGAGGCCCAGCTGGGCCGGTGCTGAGGGGTGACAAGGTGGGACCTGAGAGAATCTGACAGAGCCAGAACAGAATGGCAGCTGGACTTCTCCTTGGGTTCGAGGTGGGGTGCTGGTGTCCTGGGACCAGCGGCCCTTTCTCTGACCTGCTCTGTTGGGGAGGTGGCATTGAGTGGGACTTGATGTGCTTTGGAGTAAATGGGTGCGAGGTTCCAGAAAGGCCCAGCCCTCAGCCTTGCTTCTTTGTGGGAGACTCTGGTGGCCCTCACTCATGCTTGTCTTCCCTCCCCACCACCCAGACGAGACCCTCCGCTCTTTGGCCAGCCCTTCCTCCCTGCAGGGCCCCGAGCTGCACAGCTGGCGCCCCCCCGTGGACTGTGTCCGGGCCAATGAGCTGTGTGCGGCCGAATCCAACTGCAGCTCCCGCTACCGCACGCTGCGGCAGTGCCTGGCGGGCCGGGACCGCAACACCATGCTGGCCAACAAGGAGTGCCAGGCGGCCCTGGAGGTCCTGCAGGAGAGCCCCCTGTACGACTGTCGCTGCAAGCGGGGCATGAAGAAGGAGCTGCAGTGCCTGCAGATCTACTGGAGCATCCACCTGGGGCTGACCGAGGGTAAGCCCGGCGGCGGGAATGGCAACGGTGGCGGTGAGGGGTGTGGGGGGGCTCGGTTTCAAGGCGGGGCTCGTAATGGAGTGAGCTGGCCAGCTCCCCGTCCCTCGCTGTGGGGGGAAACACGAACCCAGATGGAGTAGCCTCGTGACCTAGGAGGGTAGCTGAGGAGGAGAGGAAGCTGGAGCAGGGGCGAGGGGACAGGAAGTAAACTGGGGACAGGAGGACCTAGGATTGTGCGACGTGGTCACAGGAGAAAGTGAGACAAGCGTGCCAGGCAGATGGCGAAGTGAGAACAGAGGAGAGAGGAGGACCGGCCGTGTGCACACGCGAGTCCTGCCGCTCATGCTCCCCGGGCCCCAAGAGCGAGTGCGCGTTGGCCCCCCACGGCCACCTGGGCACCACCTGCAGGGCGTGGAGTGGTTTGAGGGCAGCAGGTCCCTGTCCCTCCACAGACGTGCCCCCGAGTCCTGAGGCAGAACCTGTCACTACCACCTGCCCAAGATGCTGCCTCCCTTGCTTCATCCCCTCAGCGTGAGGAAGCCACGGTTGACCCCTGCGCCAGCCAAACTGGGAGCCCCTTCCCCTGGGCCAACTCTAGAAAAGCAGACCTCTGCTTTTCTCATTCCTCAGAACCCTGCCCCTGCAGCCCGCCCCCAGGACTCCCAGTCCCTTCCCCCCTGGGTCTGGGCAGGGGTGAGGGGGTGGGGGGGCGCAGAGGTAGTTTCTGTGGAGGGCCGGCCGGGGCAGTCGGGGCCTTTGAACAGCTGGTGAAGTGCCCGTGAGTGATAGGCTCTACCTGACAGTTAAGTGTGCGCTGCGTGGGCGAAGTGGTCCCTCGGCGCTTCCTCCTGGTTCCCAAACACATCTACTAACCGGATTGGGCCCTGGGGGTGGGGCGGGAGGACTGCTGGTGGGTGAGATGCGCCCCTGAACCCTTGGTCCCGCTGTGCCCCTCTGCCCGAGGCTGGAGCCCTCAGCGTGTGGAGAGAGCTGGTGGTGGCTGGATTATGGCCTCTACTGAGCGCCTGGACAGTTCCAGCGGCAAGGACCTCGCGCTGTTCAGTCCCATGCCCATTTTGGTGGGGAAGCTGATGTAAAGACAGGAGGGTGGTGTCCTAGGGCACACAGCAAGCGGGTGGCACAGGCCCCTGAGTCCTTACCCAGCCCCTTCCCCGCCCTGGGGAGGTCCTGTGGCCTTGGGCCTGCCTTCCTCTTCTGTCGTCTCCTCCGCCATCACAGCTAATATTTACAAGGTGGAGCTGTTGCTGTTGGCTGCAGGGAAGACTCGAGACCAGGCTTCTTGCTTTTGTCAGAGGTGACAGTGAAGTTCAGGGTCACCCCGGTCCTTCAGAGATGAAAAGCAAAGACCTCTCCCAGGTCATGACCCAGCCGTCTGATGTCATGATTTGGCTTCAGTCTGACTGCCGGGGATGGCCGAGTAGCCAGGCCCCAGGTTTCTACTGGTGAATTCTGATGACCTAAATCGGACTCCTCCCTGCCAGTCCTGGGAGGAGCTGTTTCCCCCAGAGACCCCCTAGCCAATCCTTCTGGCTGATCCGTACCCAGGTGTGGAGCTGCCCCAGATGCGCTGTGAAGGACCGGCGTTGCTCTGGGCGGGCAGAAGCTGACCCTGTGAAGGCTTAGGCCACAGCGGTACTTGTCTAAGAACGTTTTGGTTTCAATTACACTTTATTTATTTATTTTTTTAAGGTTTTATTTATTTATTTTTAGACAGAGGAGAAGGGAGGGAGAAAGACAGGGAGAGAAACATCAATGTGTGGTTGCCTCTCGCATACCCCCCACTGGAGTCCTGGTCTGCAACCCAGGCGTGTGCCTGACTGGGAATCGAACCGGTGATGCTTTGGTTCACAGGCCGGCATTCAGTCCCCTGAGCCACAGGGCAACACTTCATTTTTGGAGACCGCATTCATAATGGTTAAGTACTTGGACTCTGTCATCAGCTGCCTGGGTTTGAAGCCTGGCTCCGCCACGTACCAGCTGTGTGGCCTTGGGCAAGTTACTTAGTGTCTCTGTGCCCCAGTTCCTTGTCAGCGAAACAGGGAGACTCAACGGTGCATAAACTTTTAGGTTACTTGGCCTCAACCACTAGCCTTGGCTGGCGACCCCACCATGGGAGTTTCTGTAGGGACGGTGGGGAGCGGGGAGGACACAGACCACAGGAAGCTGGGGCTGGACACTGGCCCGAGGGGGCGCGTAGTGTTCGGCTCAGGCCCAACAGCACATACCGGTGGGCGCCCGCTGTGCAGGAGGCTGTGTGCTGGGTGGTGCAGGGCACGAGGGCTGCTCCTGGGCGGTGAAGCGAAGGGGGGCCATTTCTGCAGGAGACATGTGCTTCGCATGTCGTATTGGGGTTTGCACCCTTCGCAGGGGGTCTGCCAGCTTAGCAGACAGGAGGCCTCCCCCCGTGCACCAGCAGGGGCTGGTTCCTTCTCTAGTCCTAGCCTCTGGGTGACCTCACGGGTCAGCCGACCGAGCTCCTCACAGGGATTCCCAGGCCCCACATCTGGATGGCTGGCACCTCCCTGCAGGTGGCTCCGTGGATGCTGCCACATGTGTTCCCTGAGGCAGGAGGTGCCTGCCCACAGCCTGGGCTCCAGGTGGGTGGGAGGTCACTGTGTGAGGCTGTGGCTCAGCACTGCCTCCCCGCCCCTCAGCTCGCGCGCGGGCAGCCTGACTGATTGATTACTCATTGACTTCTCATGGCAGCGTCTCAGGAGGACGCGTCCTGTCCTGCGAGGTGTCGGCAGAGGGGACGGGAGTCTGACGGGGCGGTAGGAGGTTGCTGGGGCAGCCCTGTTCCCTTCATCTCCTGTCACATCCTTGGTTTGGCTTTTGCTGAGCCTCTGAAGCGCCCAAGGTCTGAGAAGCCAGCAGGGGGTGGGGCGGATAGGAAGGGAGCATAGGAGGGGCTCGGGCCGATAGGACTTGTGGCCCTCCAGCCAGATTCTTCTGGTGTCCTAGTGGGAAGCAAAGAGGACCTTCTGTCTCCTCCAGGGGCTTGGGCGGACTCATCCTGGGGCGAGGGGACAGAACGCAACCTGGCCCGCAACCAAGGCACACGCATCCTGACTGGGAATTGAATCAAAGGGTCGCGAGGGCCGGGCCACGGGGTCCAGCTGCAGTGCGGCTGTGAGCAGCTGTGTCGTCTCAAGCAGGTCACTTCGCTGCTTGGGGGCCACCTGCAAGCCCTGTGAGGACGTTGTGCTGAATGATGGGACCTGGCCCGCCACAGGCTGCTACGGTGCCACCTCCCCGTGCCTTCTTTCCTGAAGCATTCGGCAGTCCTTAGAGGAGAGCAGGTCAGGCCAGGAGGTTGCGGAAGAGTTCTTCGGCGTCCGACCTGCTCTGGGGGACCTCCTACTCTGGCTGGAAGGAATAACTTGTCCGTGTGACTTGTCGAACATTGTATTTGTAACTTGCCCCTCACTTTCAGAATGGGGCACCTGTGCCTGACGCCGTTCTCTCTTCCAGGTGAGGAGTTTTACGAGGCCTCGCCCTACGAGCCGGTCACCTCCCGCCTCTCGGACATCTTCAGGCTTGCTTCCATCTTCTCAGGTAAGTGGGTGCGGGCGGGGCCGCGCCGGTTCTCCTCTGGGCCCAACGTGGCGGACAGAGCCCTGGGCTTGGCTCGGGTGTCCTGGCCTTTAGCCCCAGCAAGCCCTTAACATCACGGAGCGTCAGGTCCTCATCTGTGTGAGGAGTGAAACAGTGATGGGAATGAGCCCGCCAGGCAGCTGGCCTTGGATCTGAAACTTGCTGTCACTCTCCTTTTCTGTCACTTGTCTTGCCCCGGTGCGTCCTTTTATCCAGGTTCCCAGCTTTTCCATTCTAGCTGTTCAAGGCCTTTGTGCCTCAGTTTCCTCAGCTGTGCATCAGGGAGCCTACCTACCCCGTGGATCGTCGCGAGGTCTGACTGAGTCAGTGGCTGTTGGCGGCCCGGTGTGCCGCGGTGAGCGTCCAGGAAGTGTTAGCTGTGGCCGCTGGCACTTGTGTCACTGCTTCCCAATCTGCTCTGGCTTCCTGTCTCCCTGAGGGCTCTGCTCCTTGCACCCCACTGTGGGGTGGGGGCGAGGGAGGGCTCTGAGCCCCAGCCCCTCCCACTCTGCCTGCCCCAGGGCAGAAGGCCAAGGGAGGCTGAACTCCAGCTGTGCTCCTCCAGTCTACATGTAGGAGCCTGAGGGATTTTTTGGTTTCGTCTTGATTTGTTTCCTCTGCCATTTGGGGTGCAGTGGACCCTGGGTAGCCTGCCCCACCTTTGCGGGGCTTCTGGCTGCAGAGCCGCTCTGTGGGGGCCAGGGGTGAGCTCCTCCTGGGGCCGCCTCAGGTGCCCAAAGGTGGCGGGGCGGGCTTGTTCCCTGGGGCCCCTGGACACAGGGCCCGGGTTCCCGGTGGCCCGTGGCAGTCCTGGGAGCCCTTTGAAGTTTCTTTAGCTTTAAACGAGGGTCTCGACATTATCGCTGTTTCGGGGGGTAAGTCTTGTGGGAGAACGGCCCACCTGGCGTATTGTAGGATGGTGAGCCACGTCCTTGGCCTCTCCTCAGTAGATGCCGGTAGTAGCCCCGCCCCAAGCTGTGACAGCTCCAGATGTCACCAGACGTCACCTGGGGGCACATGCGCTGCCAGGGAAGCAGCTCTAAACTGTGACTGAAAAGCTCTGGTGAGTCCCCAGGCCCTTTCAAACGAAGACTTCTCCAGCACAGTGTTGCTCAGGCTTTTTCCCCCACTATTACCCCCTAAGGAGAAAAATTAATTTTAACTAGAAAAATACTATCTTAGTCTGCTAGGGCTGCTGTAACAAAATAGCATAGGCTGAGTGGTTTAAGCAACAGAAATTTATAGCCTTACAGTTCTGGAGGCTGGAAGTTCAAGTTCAAGGCCCAGCAGGGTTTGGTTTCTGGGGAGAGCTCTCTCCGTGACCTGGAGATGGCCACCTTCTCTCTGTGTCCTTGTGGGGGTGGGGTGGGACAAGGGAGCTGGTGAGGGTGGAGGGGGAAGAAGGGAGGGAGAGGGAGAGGGAGAGCGAGCTCTTCTAAGGCCACATACTTGTGGCCTTAGATTTGTCATATTAAGACCCCACCCTTACAACCTCATTTAACCCTAATTGCCTCCTCAAAGCCCTCTCTCCAAATACAGTCACATTGGGGGTTATAGCTCCTTGAGGGGCGCAATTTAGTCCATAGCTAAAGTCAAAGAGTAACATTTTGTCAGGGTTGAGTTTTGGAGCACCACAAACTGCTGTCATACCTCCCCCCCCTTTTTTTTTTTTGCCAAACCGAGACGCAGCTTTTGTTCCCTCGTGGGCGAGGGCGGGCGACAGGTCCTCCCTGATGGAGATGGGCCCATTTTCCGCCTGACCAGCAGCTCAGGGACCAGTCCTGGCACCGCTGCGTGGGCGGGGCCTCCGGGATTAACTCCGGTGAAGGGGGCGCTTCGGCTGACTTGCTGAAGGTTGGGGGTCAGGAGTCCTCACTGCGGGGTCGGCCCCAGCTGCTTCCCGGGCTCACACGAAGCATCTCCTTAGCAGAAAATCTTTCTGTAATAGACTTGACGCTTGGTGGGGCAAGGATGTTGATGAGACAGTTGAGGAAATGACTGGGTCAGCTTCCTTCGCCGGCCGCCCGGATGTGTCTGGGCCCGGGGACCGCTCCCCGCAGTGAAGGCAGGGCTTTGGGGTCTCTGAGGGCTCCCTCCTTGTCGCCCCCGTTGGCCCTGCTGCACCCACAGCGGCCCTGGAGCTGGTACACGGGCGCTGGCTCTGGCTGGGGAGACGTGGGCGCGCAGCTGGCTGAGGAGGCCCTGGGCGGGCTGCCAAGAAACCACGCGGGCCACGGTGGGCTCAGCAGAGGCGAGGCTGGTGGGGAGCTGGGGGGCCCGGTTCCAGTGCCTTCTCTGCCTGCGGTGAGCTTCAGGGCTTGGGCCAGTCATGCCCTGCTCCAGAGCTCACATTTTCTTTCTGAGAATGGAGACGCGTGCACATGGAGCCTTGCTCTCCAGCCTCGCCCATGAGGGTGCCCGGACAGGGACAGTATCGTGTGGCGCGCTGGGATGAGCAGAGCGGCTTGGAGCTCAGACGGTTGCCGGCGCCTGCCAGGCCGCCCTGCCAGCCGAGGGCTCGCGTTCTGGGCCCGCGTGTCTCCTGCTGGTAGCTCGCTGGTAGCTCGCAGGCCTGGCCTGGGTGACCCAAGATTTTGGACTCATGCTTTGGGGTGATAAGGCTGCTGCCCTATGGGGCTGTGTGGAGCCCTCCCCCTTCCACACACCCACATCTGGTGGTATGCTCTCCCCTTGGTGGCCCCCCGCTGGGGCCTCGGGAACTCCGACAAGGGTGCTGCTGCGTGCGGGGCTCAGACGCTCTTTTCTCTCCACTGAGAATTCGGGCCCTAGTGCAGGGCGTCCTGGAACGTGCGTGCTCTTTGTCTCGCGCCTCCTCTCTCTGGGGGGGTTCTTGGAAAGTCCTCCTGGGATTCTGTTGGCCAGGACAGCTGCCCGGGTCCCCCGCACTCTGTGACGCCAGAGGCCCTGGGGCAGGGCGAGCCGTCCCCTCCTCTCTGCCCAGTTCGGACACAGGCCCTGGGCTCAGTGACTGGCTCTGGGATTCCTGGTGTCCACTTAGTCCCCAGCTCAGGGCCAGGAGAGCAGCCTGGGCCACCCTGAACCATGTTGACTGTGCTGTTGGGGGCATCCAGTGTCCTGCCCCAGCCTTACAGGCGGGGGAGGAGGTTTCATGGGGAAGACATGGGGTTTGTCCCGTTCCTAGCAATTTAAACTGCCCTGGAAAACATGAAATGGAGTGTTCAGTGCAGCCGTCGCCCCAGTAAGTGGGAAGAGCGTGGGGGCCGTGAGTCTCCCGGTGCTGCATTTGAATCCTGACTCGCCCGCTTGGGGCTGTGTGACCTGGGGCCTCCCTGGGGCCTTTTGGAGCTGCAGTGCCTGCGCGTGTCCCATGGGGAGTGGTACCTGCTCACAGGGTTGATGAGGAGGGCTCAGTGGGAATGACACAGGGAGAGCGACCAGGAGTTGTCTCCTCTCTGCCGAGGGTGTTCAGGCGGTGGGGCAGGGGGGACGCAGAGGTGGAGGAGCTCCAGCTGAGCCCCCGTCCCCGAGTCTCTGGGACCTTGTGAATGCCGGGCCCCAGCTGGTTCCTTCTGCGGAGGCAGGAGAGGACGGGCTAAGGTGGAGAGGAGGGAGGAGAGATGGTCCAGACAGGGAGGTGTCACAAGCGGGCGATGGGGAGAGTGAGGGGAGCAGAGGTGCTCGTCCGCCTGCAGGGAGGCCTTCGCGGTGAGGCCAGAGGGCGCTGGTTGTCCTCACAGCCACGGGCTGTGCCCACGGGACAGGGGGAGGCGACAGGCAGACAGCCTGGGCCTTGTCGGTGAGGGCGGGGCCTCCAGGGTGGCCCTCCCGCGGTGGCCCTCCCGCAAGCACTTCCGGGTGCATGGTGTGCAGCGTATGTAATGTATTTACGCAAACATGTCTTGTCTGTTCTGTAGCTGGAAGGGAACTTAGCAATCATCCAGGCCCACCCTTTCCCCTGACAGAAAAGGAAACTGAGGCCCAGAGAGAGGGTATAGACAAAGACCTAAGTTCAAACCCTGGCTCTGCTGTGGCCCAGTGTGCACCTCCACAGGTCCCTTGCTTCTCTGGCCTGCGCCGCCCCGCTGTGACTGCGTGGGGACCCGTGGGGGTGGGCGGGAGGCCGGGCTCAGGCACTTTCGGGGGGCGGGGGAGGGAGAAGAGGTGGGCCACGTCCGGCTCAGTCAGCCGCAAGCCTCCAGACTTGGCCATCTCGCCTGGATGGAGCCAGGAGAGGCCCAGGCCTGTTTTTGCTGGAGGCTCTGGTGGCTCCTTTCTGGGGACTCAGGCCAGGAGGGAGCCCCACCTCTGTCGCGACGCCCCGCAGATGGCCCCTGAGCGGTGGACGGCGCCCTGCCCTGGGAGCCGTCACACTCTGTCCTCTCTCACGGTGCCCGCTGTCTCCTGAAGGGGACGTGGGACCTGGGGCGGGGCGGCGGTCTCTGTCAGTGCTGTGCCCCTCCTGCAGCCCCCGGGAGGATCCGGGAGAGTGGGGGCGTGTGGGCTCTGAGGCCTGCTGGCTCTGCTTTTGGAACCTGGGCTCTCCCTATGAGCCAGGTGGCCGTGGCGGCTTTGCTGGGGGCTGGGGGGCGCTAATGGTGTAGTGTGAGGTGTTAGACCTGCACAGGAAAGGGGATGAGGAGGCTGGGGCAAGTCCGAGGTGCCCTGTGTGCGCGGCATCGTGAGAGGCCTGAGGTTTGTGGGGGACCCCAGCCGAGTGCGCACAGTGCCCATGGAAGGGGCGGGGCTGGGCCGTCTCTGGAGGTGCACGTTTTTGTTCAGTAAACGTGGGGGGAGCACTCGGTGTTCCACGTAAGAAAGCGCTTTAAATCGAATCAGACCCCAGTTAGACGCCCTTGGCGGCGCCTGGGGAGGTCAGGAGGGTCCTGGAAGAGGAGAGGGGGCCTGGGCCTGATGTCCCGGCGTCAGGGCTTGGAGGCCAAGCTCAGGTGCTGAAGGAACCACATGTCTTCTGACCTGCA